GCTATGGCCCCAGACCGAAACATATTCAAGGATGCCTTTTGCTCCTCGAACAACTGCTTGAACAACTTCTTGAAAGGAATGCTACATTCTGCATCGCCTACATCGACATCCACCCCCAGGGTCTCGGCTGCATCAAACCGTTCGTCATTGACCATGGCCAAACACCGACCTCGTGCAGTACACCTCAGCACGTGCTCGATGCGCTTGGTGTACCTCGGCTCGTTGGGTTGGTGCGCCCAGAACTCTCGCCCCGTCGCTTCCACAAGCTTCAGCACTCGATCATCATCGTGCTCATCCACACCCAGGAAGCATTCTCGACCATCCGCGCATCTAATAAAACGAAGGCCTATGACGGCCGCATACTGCTTCATCGCGTTCTCCAAGTAGGTAGATCAGCAGAGCCTCTCGTCCACAATCACCTTGGAGGCATGTAGGGCACCGACATCTGCGGGTGAAAATTGACACGCTGGGCCCACCATCTTCCGTAGCACCACCACATATTCTTGGTTCTGATAACCGCCCTGAAGAGGGTCCTGCAAGTCAGCTCAGGGGGGCGGAGCCAACAGAGGACATCCCCACAAGCATAGGGGACGAATCTACGAGATAGCCAACCTCTTCCGCATTGCAGCGCCACCAGGACACGAGGTCAGAAAAAGCATGGCTGCGTTCAAGTTATCCCAACCAGCACGGGGCCAGATCAGAAGAGCGGGGCCGACTGTCATAGCCACCACCCGAAGGTGTTCAACCAGCATTGGCGGATCGTCGGACCGAATCCACCGTTGCTTCTTTGCTCGGTTCTCCTCGAAGCCTATTGCCACATCAAAGGGCTGCGTGTAGGCGAGATCGGCGTCGAAGATTCCAACAGTAGCTGCCGTGATGGACCTGTCGTCCATGTAGCACGTTCCTTGATATGGCTGCCACGGTGTCAATGACGATCTCATCACACTCGGGGCAATTGAGTATCCTTGTGGTAGTCCTCGCTTTGGCCATTTAGGCGGCGCCAGCGCCTGGGCCACACAGCAGTGCCTCGGCCCCCGCCAAGCAGCGAGAGCCACGAAGGTCACCACAGGCGGGGCTCGACTGCACATACAACGTTGGGCACCAACCGCGAAGTCGATGATGTCGTAAGCTTTGCTCAGGTCGAGCTCCGCCCCAGCCCCCGCCCCGAGATGGCGTGGACTTGTCTACTTCCGTTATTGAATGCGTTGCCACATGCGATTCTTGCCAGTGGGGCCGTACACGGAGCTCCCTATGGGGCCACGTGCGATGGGTGTGCCGACATGGGCGCGACCACGCATGCGATTTCTGCCACCTGGGCTTCACATGGAGCTCCCTATTGGGACACGAGGCGTGCGAGGGGTCTGCCGACATGGTTTGGAGAAGGCATGCGAACATAGCAAACATAGTCGCACGGGCCTCAGGCGGAGCTCGCTAGGGGGTCGCGAAACGAGCGAGGGGTCCGCTAAAAGTGTGGGGGGGGGGCATGACGGCGCAACCGCTGGGGCCTTAGGTGGAGCTCCCTATGCGGCCACGAAGCGTGCGATGCGTGTGTCAAACTAAGGTGGTGACAGCATGCGGGCGCAACCACTGGGGCTTTATGTGGAGCTCCCTTTGCGGCCACGGAACGTGTGATGGGTGTGTCAAAGTGGGGTGGCGGCGACAAGCTGGCGCAACCAGTGCAACCGCTGGGGCCATAGACAGAGCTCCCTTTGTGGCCATTATGTGGAGCTCCCTATGGGGCCACAGAAGTGTGAGAGATGCGCCACAGTGAGGTGGCGGCGGCATGCGGGTGCAACTTCTTGGGCCATAGATTGTGCGCCAAAGCGGGGTGGTGGCGGCATGCTGGCGCAACCACTGGGGCTTTAGGTGGAGATCCCTATGGGACCACCCAGCGTGTGATAGGTGTGCCAAAGTAAGGTGGTGGCAGCATACAGGCGCAACCATTGGGGCCTTAGGTGGATCTCCTCATGTGGCCACGAAGCGTGGGAGGGGTGCGCCACAGTGAGATTCGTTGTGGCATGAGGGCGCAACCATTTGGGCCTTTGGTGGAGCTCCTTCTGGGGCCACGGAGCGTGCGAGGGGTGCGCCAACGTGGGGTTCGTTGCGGCATGCGGGCGCAACCGTTGGGGAATTAAGTGGAGTTCCCTATGGTGCCACGAAGCGTATGAGGGTGTGCCACAGCGGGGCGGAGGCGGCAGACGAGCGCAACCACTGGAGCCTTGGGTGGAGCTCCTCATGGGGCCTTGAAGCACGTGAGGTGTGTGTGTGTGCGTGACGAAACAATGGCATGCGGAGGGCAGACGCAAGAATGTGAGGAGGGACGAGGGAAGGAGAGCAGGAGGAGGAAGGACGCGGGGCGCTGTCTCCTCAAAGCAAGGGCCCAGCACCACAGGATGGTTGGGACACACTGCTTCGGCGAAGAACCCAACCCTGTGTGAACGCGTGGAAGCTATCAACAGGACCGTTCACATACACAAGCAACATCATGCAAAACTGCCAGCGGAAAAAGATCTGTCAACGCTGAACAACTTAGCCGGAGAAGGGGCTTCACATTCAAATCGCGCACAACAGCAGTCGCCGCTGAATTGATAGCAATTGGCGCAGCAAAGACAACGCTGCTCAAAGCCAAAAACAACCAGGCGTGCGGAGATTGACTCTCGGCTATGATTATATGCGATCCGGAAGCACTTTCAGAACATCTGCAACAGTAACGCCTTTCATGACGTAGACGACAAGCTTGAGCACATGAAAAATCAATGAGCCAACTATGGAAAGGAAGAACGATCCGCGTGAACGACAGCCGCTTTTCAAACTTCGCGATAGCGACACCTTCCCAGACAGACGAAAAGTTCAAACACGAGACATCGTGAGCCGACCTTGTAAGCAAATTTTGAAAAGTTGCGATCGCGACACCTTTCCAAACATGAGTAATCGTGATAACGATGATCTGGCGTGGTCGAAAGGGCGTTTACACTTATCCGTGATATATAAAGTGCCCTTGCTGACACAGGCCAACATGAAGACGGCATTCAAACCAATGCGATTGTGACGCCCTTCGCGGCACAGACTGGACGCCGAAACGCGAGACACAGTAGCCCAACATCGAGCGCCCTTCCAAGCACGAGCCAAGTCCACGAACATGGCCAGCGACCCGACATGGTGAGCAAATTTTCAGAATCGGCGGAAGGGGCGCCTGTCCAAGCAACACCAGACTGCGAATTTCCCCAATCAGTGCTTGCACTGAAAGGGTCCTAGCAGAAGTAACAAGAGTTGGCGAAAGCGTCCCGCCGGTTTGGGTGCTCGGCTGGGTTCCTGAGTTCCCGGCTGCGGGTTCACGGGTTCCTGGTCATTGGTTCCGGGCCGATTTCGGTGGTTCTTGGGTTCCCAGGTTCCCAGTCGATCTTCTTATCGATCTTGTTCTCGACCCCACGATTCATCAAACCATCCTCTGATTGGGTTTTTTCTTTGGTGTATGGACAAACGTTCGAGCATTTGTGCTACTGGCGCCTTTTACACAGGCCAGAAGACAAGGGCAATCGAAACAGACGAGACGGGGGCGCCCTTCCTGTCACGGACTCAACGCCGAGCACAGGACACACCTTATTGTGAAGGCCTGATTGCCGGTGCCGCCGACCCTGAAAGACATTGACGACGACCAGGAGGGGGAGAAGGAGGAGGAGGAGGAGGAGGAGGAGAAGGAGGAGGAGGAGAAGGAGGAGGAGAACGAGGAGGAGGCGGAGATAAGGAGGAGGAGGCGGAGATAAGGAGGCGGAGATAAGGAGGAGGAGGATAATGAGGGACAAGACGCGCCTTACTTTAGCATGCCAGAGCTCAACATTTGACACGTTTATGGCGGCCTGCCAAACACAGTGGCGTCGAGGGCGGGCGATGAGCTCTGGAAGGCTGCGTGGAGAACGAGCACGCTTTCTCTGGCCACTCCTGGTGTTAAGTCGGGCGTGTTCCACTACAGGAGGAGTAGTCAAACATAGTCCAGATATAGTCTGGGGACGCTTGTTTAAAATACCATTTCTGAGTATTTGTGGGGCAGTTCTGGGGTATCTTTCATTTTTCGTCCAAAATCCGCGTGTAGGGGGACACGACCGACCTAATTCTAGTGGAAGAAGATGGTCGAGCCGCTGGACACTGGAATCGTGTAGGAACGTGCGGGCCTGCAGGACGAAGGGGCACTACAACAAATTGCACCACGGGGCCCAGTGCACGCGCCCTGGCTCCGGCCAACAAGTGCGATGAGCATGCGTACGCCGTGCGTCCCTTGGAAGGTCCAGGATGGCATTGGATGGTTCCAAGATGGCCTTGACTGTCAAGACTTATGATGTTGGATGCCCTGCTGATGGCTCTACGCCGCGAAAAGTCAGAGATAACAAAAAAATAGCTCAAACATTGGTATTGTGGCCATACGAAAACAAACACGAAACTAACAGCAGAAATTGGTCACGTGATCTCGAAATGCGGACCCGCCATCAATCTTGTCTCAAGATTGATGGCGGGTCCGAAAGACTTACGCGGCACACACACATGTGTATATATATATGTATATATGCATACATATATATATATAAATACCTATACATATACGACTACCCTGCGGGTGATAAGGAGGTTGTGGGGGGTTGGGGGGAGGGGGGTGGCTCATGACGACAACTGTGTTGAACGTGGTGATGATGGTCGATGATGGTGTGGATGACGTGGCGGATTTTTGTTGTTGTTCCTTCGCTTGGGCGACTTCAGATCTATTGAGTGACACGTTGGTTCCTCCTCCCCCCTCACCTACTTATCACCCGAAGGGTGGTCGTATAGGCATCTCACTATCGATCTCACTATCGATCTCACATTCGGTCTCACTATCGATCTCAATTGATATCACAATCGATCTCACAATCGATCTCACATTCGGTCTCACGATCGATCTCACTATCGATCTCACTATCGATCTCACTATCGATCTCACGATCGGTCTCACAGTCGATCTCACTATCGATCTCACGACAGGACACCGACGGGACACCGACGGGACAACGGCAGGCAACCGACGGGACAATGCGCGCCACCGCTTGACAACACCGGGGGGGGGGGAAACATTTGTGTTGGCGGACCCCTAGCGACAGCAGAGTGAATTCCTCTCGCTGGCCCACGCAGCTTCGCCTCGCCCGCACGCACGGCACGAGCACGAACTCGAAATTCGATTTCCCGGTGGGGGGACTTCGTTACACTGCGATCTCACCCTCCCAACCTCCGATATCTAGATATATATATATTTATATACATATCAACATATGAGAAAGAGAGTTCGAGGAAAAGGAGCAATTTGGCAGGATGGCTAGCAACCGGATTGTGTTCTTGTGGGTCCGAAGGATAGCCGTCTGGACCTGTTCATGGACCTCAGAGTCTTCCTCCTTCTCCGCCGCTTCTCGCCGTTCTCCTCCTTCCGTCCATTCCCCCCCTCGTCTTCGAAGGTCCCTGGAAGTCCTTGGAAATCCCGGGTAGTCCAGGGCGGTCTTCTCAAAATTCGAACTTCGAATTTCCAAAAGACCGCCCCGGACTACTCGGGGGGCCTGTTGAGGCCAGCGGGGACTGCTCGAGAAGCCTGTTGGGCCAGCCAGCACTACCTGGGGTGCTGTTTATGCGCAACCCGATGTCTTGCCATGTCCTCAATTCCAGCGTCCTTCCTTTCCCTCCTCCAGAAGGCAGGAGGAGGAGGAGGAGGAGGAGCACGGGCGCAAAGACTGACACACTGACACCACTGTCACGAGCCGACTTGGAATCTGGGGCCTCTTTGTCGCTGTCGCTGTTGGCCTCGGATGTCGGATCGGATCGGACGTGGCCGTCCTGGAGCCTCCCTCCTCCTGCCTCCTCTTGCTCGGAGTCGTTCCCAGCTGTCTTTGTTCTTTGTTCTTGGTCCTCCCTCCTCCTCCCTCCTCCTTCTCCTGCTGCTCGTCAGTCCTCCCACTCCTCCTCTTCCTTCTCCTCATGCCGCTTCCCATCTATTATGCTGTTCCTTTACCTGGTCCCCCTCCTCCTTTTCCTTTCAGCCACCCCTCGTTCCTCCTCCTCCTCTTCCAACTCCTCTCCCCCCTCATCATCGCCGCCTTTTTCCTCTTTGTTCTCTGCCTCCCTCCCCCTCCCCTCTCCCCTCCCTGCCCTCCTCACCATCATCCGCACACTCCGCCTTTCTCCCCCCCACTTCCCCCCGCCCTCCTCGGCCCCCCCCCCACCCTCTCCCTCCTCTCCTCCTCATCCTATTTCCACCGCCCTTCCTCCTCCCATCCCTCCTCCTCTCCTCCTCCTCCTCACCTCATCCTCCTCATCATCCTGCCTCCTCCTCCTCCTACTCCTCTACTCCTCCTCCTCTCCTCCTCTCCTCCTCTCTCCCTCCCCTATCCTCCCCTCTCCTTCCACTTCCCTCATCCTCTTACTCAGCCCTCTCCGCCTCCCTTCCTCCTCCTCTTCCTCCTCCCCCTCTTCCTCCTCCTTCCTCCCCTCCATCTGCAACATCAGCAATCCTCCGCCTCCTCCTCCTCCTCCCCCTCCTCCTCGCTTTTGCCCTCCGCGCCTTGGGCGGCCGGGCCGAGGCGGCGGCCGGCCCCTGCAAGGGCGAGCGGCGCGCCGCCCAGGGAGCCCCGCGGCAGACGGCAGGGGGCCGAGCGAGCGAGCGAGCGAGCGAGGGGGACGGAGGGGGTCCTCCTCCTACCTCTCCTCCTCTCTCCCTTTCCTCCTTCTCCTCCCCCTCCTCCCCCTCTCCCTCCTCTTCCGCCTCCTCCTCACTCAGCCTCCTCCTCCTCCTTCATCTCTCCTCCTCCTCATCCTCCTCCTTCTCGATCCTCCTCCCCCTTGCGGTCTCGGGGGTCCTCTCGCTCGCTCGCTCGAGTGAGAGAGGGGTGGGGGGGGGGTAGGTGGCGAGTGAGCACGAGGAGGGGGGTGGGGGGCGTGCGAGCGAGCGAGCGAGGGGGCGAGCGAGCGAGGGGGCGGGCCGGCATGCGGGGGGGAGCGAGCGAGCGAGCCGTCTCGCCCGCTCGCTCGCGCGAGCGAGCGATGTGTGCGAGCGGGGGGGCGAGGGCGGCGAGCGACCGAGCGAGCATGGGAAGGGGCAAGCGAGCGAGCGAGCGGGAGAAGGAGGGGGTCCGGAGTCCTCTCGCTCGCTCGCTGGCCCGAGCGAGGGGCGGGCATGGGGGGGCGACCGAGCGAGCGGGGGCGGGGGGGAAGCAAGCGAGCGAGCACGGAGGTCTGGGCTCGCACGCATGCCGCGCGAGCGAGCACGGAGGGGACCCTGCCTTCCCTCGCTCGCTCGCTCTCGAGCACGCGAGCGAGCGGGCGGTTCGGGCGGGTCGGGCGGGAGGGATATGACACGCATGGTGCTCGCGTGCTCGCTCGCCCGCTCGCCTGCTCGAGCGAGCGAGCGAAGGAGGAGGAGGAGGAGGAGGAGGAGGAGGAGGAGGAGGAGGAGGACGCGGAGAGGAGGAGGACGAGGGAGGAGGAGGAGGAGAGGAGGCAGGAGGAGGACGGGAGGAGGAGGAGGAGGAAGGAGGAGGAGGAGGAGAAGGAGGAAGAGGAGGAGGAGGAGGAGGAGGAGGAGGAGGAGAAGTAGGAGGGGAGGGGGGGGGGGTCCTGTCGTTCGCTCGAGGAGACGCCGCCGCGACACGCCGAGCACGAGTGCCCGACCGTACGCGCCCAGGTCGAAAGCGCCCAGAGGGCCGGTGTTGGCTGCGCCCGGAGCCTCCTCCAGCTCCTCCTCCTCCTCCTCCTCCTCCTCTCTTCTTCCTTCTCCTCCTCTTTACTCTACTACGCCCTCCTCCTCCTCAGCCCTCCCTACTCTCCGTCCCCCCTACTCGCCCCTCTCTCCACTCTCCTCCTCTAGCTCCTCCTCCAGCTCTCCTCTCGCATCCTCCTCTCCTCCTCCGAATCCTCTCCAGCAGACTGCCCCTCTCTTCATCACTTACCTCCTAGTCCTCATCCTCCCTCCTTCACTCCTCCTCATCACTCCTCTCCTCCTTCTTCCTCGTCTTCCCTTTGTTACCTCCTCCTCCTCGTCCTCCTCCTCATCCTCCTCCTCCTCCTCCTCTTGCTCCTCTTCCTTCTTACCCTCCCCCTCCTCCTCCTCTTCCCCGGCGTCTCGACCCGATCCGAAGCTCAGTCCAGCACGGTCTGGTTGCCCGATTCGATGCTGGTTCATTCTGCGCTCCGCCTCCGCTCAGGGGGCAGATTTTGACCCTCGCCCTCGCTGCGCAGGCGGATCGAGTGGAAGCCCATGCCAAGAAATCCTCTGTTTGCCTCTGGTGTTCCCTGGGTGCCTTGGGTTTCGCTGGTTCTGCGATGGGCAGCGTGGCGCTCCCACACCCAGAATCGATGGACGTCCTGGAGCCTCAAGGTTGGATTTCTTGTTGGAGGTCTCTTGTGGTCGCGATCCTACTGCATCCCTGTCCCTGCTGGTCCCTTTTGGTCATGGCGGACCTCCAGCGGCCCTCAGGGGCGATCCGGCGCACCCCCTGGAGGTCTCCCGGCGTGGCGTAGCCGCTGGGGCTGGAAACTTGCCAGAGATCCGACGAGAACGCCCGCGGCCCTCGAGCCTCGTCCTTCGCGTCTGGAGGTCGGCCCTCGAGCCTGCCCCTCGCGTCCCACCAAACCACCCCGACCCAACCCGAAGGCCGCGATCTGCCCTCCAGCTCCAGTGGGGGGGGGTCTGGGAACATGGAAGAAAAACACGTGTGGAACCCGCAGCTCCCCCCCAACCCTGACCACCAGAAAGAATTTCGAGCACCAAGAAAGTACCGAAACTGGAGGCTTCTCACGTGTCGGGCCCTGGGAGGCGATACTTCCCCACATCCTGAGTGGGGTTCTTGTTCCCCACATCCTGAGTGGGGTTCTTGTTTTCCCAGAACACCCTCTCCTTCCCACCCACCTCCCGCTCCATCTTCCATACAGCACAATATTATTCCTACCACACACACCATACCATACCATAGTTCCTACCACACATACCACCATACGTACCATACCATACCATACCACACCATACGTACCATACCGTACCATACCATACCATGGCGTACCATAGCATACCATACCATATCACACCAATGCCACACCGTACCATACCATACCATACCTCCAGTACCATACCATATCATACCATACCGTACCCTACCATACCATACCTACCATACCATTCCATACCATACGTACCATACCGTACCATACCATACCATGGCGTACCATAGCATACCATACCATATCACACCAATGCCACACCGTACCATACCATACCATACCTCCAGTACCATTACATACCATATCATACCATACCGTACCATACCATACCTACCATACCATTCCATACCACTCCATACCGAAAACCATACTACTTACATGGTTTCGTGCCCCTCCCACCCCTCCAGGGAGGCCCCGCCTGAGCGAGGAGGGTATCGGAATACCATACTAGTTACATGGTTTCGTGCCCCTCCCACCCCTCCAGGGAGGCCCCGCCTGAGCGAGGAGGGTATCGGAATACCATACTATTTACATGGTTTCGTGGCCCTCCCACCCCTCCAGGGAGGCCCCGCCTGAGCGAGGAGGGTATCGGAAAACCATACTATTTACATGGTGTCGTGCCCCTCCCACCCCTCCAGGGAGGCCCCGCCTGAGCGAGGAGGGTATCGGACTACCATACTATTTACATGGTGTCGTGCCCCTCCCACCCCTCCAGGGAGGCCCCGCCTGAGCGAGGAGGGTATCGGAATACCATACTATTTACATGTTTCGTGCCCCTCCCACCCCTCCAGGGAGGCCCCGCCTGAGCGAGGAGGGTATCGGAATACCATACTATTTACATGGTTTCGTGCCCCTCCCACCCCTCCAGGGAGGCCCCGCCTGAGCGAGGAGGGTATCGGAATACCATACTATGACATGGTTTCGTGCCCCTCCCACCCCTCCAGGGAGGCCCCGCCTGAGCGAGGAGGGTATCGGAATACCATACTATTTACTTGGTTTCGTGCCCCTCCCACCCCTCCAGGGAGGCCCCGCCTGAGCGAGGAGGGTATCGGAATACCATACTATTTACATGGTTTCGTGCCCCTCCCACCCCTCCAGCGAGGCCCCGCCTGAGCGAGGAGGGTATCGGAATACCATACTATTTACATGGTTTCGTGCCCCTCCCACCCCTCCAGGGAGGCCCCGCCTGAGCGAGGAGGGTATCGGAATACATACTATTTACATGGTTTCGTGCCCCTCCCACCCCTCCAGGGAGGCCCCGCCTGAGCGAGGAGGGTATCCGAAAACCATACTATTTACATGGTTTCGTGCCCCTCCCAAGCGGGGCCCCGCCAAAGCGAGGAGGGCATCAAGAAAATGGGTCCCACGAAACCGTTAATCTCTTTATGTGGGGAATTCCGTTAGCATAATTTTCCCAGAACGCCCTCTCCTTCCCACCCACCTCCCGCTCCATCTTCCATACAGCACAATATTATTCCTACCACACACACCATACCATACCATAGTTCCTACCACACATACCATACCATACCATACCATACCATACCACACCATACGTACCATACCGTACCATACCATACCATGGCGTACCATAGCATACCATACCATATCACACTAATGCACACCGTACCATACCATACCATACCTCCAGTACCATACCATACCATATCATACCATACCGTACCATACCATACCTACCATACCATTCCATGCCACTCCATACCGAAAACCATACTACTTACATGGTTTCGTGCCCCTCCCACCCCTCCAGGGAGGCCCCGCCTGAGCGAGGAGGGTATCCGCAAACCATACTATTTACATGGTTTCGTGCCCCTCCCACCCTTCCAGGGAGGCCCCGCCTGAGCGAGGAGGGTATCCGAAAACCATACCATTTACATGGTTTCGTGCCCCTCCCACACCTCCAGGGAGGCCCCGCCTGAGCGAGGAGGGTATCCGAAAACCATACTATTTACATGGTTTCGTGCCCCTCCCACACCTCCAGGGAGGCCCCGCCTGAGCGAGGAGGGTATCGGAATAAAATATTATTTACATGGTTTCGTGCCCCTCCCACCCCTCCAGGGAGGCCCCGCCTGAGCGAGGAGGGTATCCGAAAACCATACTATGTACATGGTTTCGTGCCCCTCCCACCCCTCCAGGGAGGCCCCGCCTGAGCGAGGAGGGTATCCGACAACCATACTATTTACATGGTTTCGTGCCCCTCCCACCCCTGCAAGGAGGCCCAGCCTGAGCGAGGAGGGTATCGGAAAACCATAATATTTACATGGTTTCGTGCCCCTCCAACCTCCAGGGAGGCCCGCACTGAGCGAGGAGGGTATCGAAAACCATCTATTTCATGGTTCGCTCCCACCACCTCCTCCATGGATGGCAAAACCATACATTTACATGTTCGTGCCCCTCCACCACCTCCAGGGAGGCCCCGCCTGAGCGAGGAGGGTATCGGAATACCATACTATTTACATGGTTTCGTGCCCCTCCCACCCCTCCAGGGAGGCCCCGCCTGAGCGAGGAGGGTATCGGAAAACCATACAATTTACATGGTTTCGTGCCCCTCCCACCCCTCCAGGGAGGCCCCGCCTGAGCGAGGAGGGTATCGGAACACCATACTATTTACATGGTTTCGTGCCCCTCCCACCTCTCCAGGGAGGCCCCGCCTGAGCGAGGAAGGTATCCGAAAACCATACTATTTACATGGTTTCGTGCCCCTCCCACACCTCCAGGGAGGCCCCGCCTGAGCGAGGAGGGTATCGGAAAACCATACTATTTACATGGTTTCGTGCCCCTCCCACCCTTCCAGGGAGGCCCCGCCTGAGCGAGGAGGGTATCGGAAAACCATATTATTTACATGGTTTCGCGCCCCTCGGTTTCGTAGCCCTCCCCCCTTCCAGCGGGGCCCCGCCAAATCGAGGAGGGCATCAAGAAAATGGGTCCCACGAAACCGTTAATCTCTTTATGTGGGGAACTCCGTTCGCATAATTCTTATTTTAACACTGTTTCGACACTCCTCTGTGTGCTTGAACTTGTTTCTGGGATGTGGTCCTTAAGCACGATGGGAACAACATGAGTGTGGTGGTCTGGTAGGTAGCCAGTCCTCCAGACGTTGCCCCCGACCTCTGGGAGACCCCGTCGTCAGGCCCAGGGGGCGTGAAGAAAAGGCCTGGGATGAAAAACGGGCCCATGGAAGGGCTCCAGACTTTTAGGGGTCGACGTTGCGAACAGAAACGCGACGTCGGAGTTCTGAGAGCAGATTCGCTTGGCATCGCCGCTGCTAGATTCTCGGAAGCCTGGGCAGGACGCATGGCGGCCGAGGGCGTCCAGGGCATTTCGACCCGCACCCAGAGGGGAGGGGACGGTGGACGGGAACAGAGTGGGGGGAGGATGACAGAGCAACGCGGAGGGAGGAAGAGGGAGGAGGAGGAGGAAGGAGAGAGGAGGAATAGGAGGAGGAGAAGGAGGAGGAGGAGGAGGAGGAGGAGGAG